TTGTTGTATGTCAATCACCTCTCCCCAAAGGAAGCTTTTAGAAGTGCTCAGATGCATGCCTCCTTGCAGTCTTCAAGAGAAGGACTCCTAAGACCACTAAGGAACTCAGCCAAGGCCTGCAACAGACATCCTCAAACTTAGTTATACCGAGCTGTGTTGCTAATGTGTATACACAACCCTTTAGACTCAGAACAGTCAGATTGTGGCCAATTTTGTAAAATACTTGGCATGTCTCCCACTTCCTGTAGTTTGGACCAGGGCAACCGGGCATCTGGTGTCCACAGACCCCCCTGGGCAAGCTCCTGTTAGCACCAGCCCCAGGCCCCTGCCAGAGCCTGCCTGGTTCCTGCAGCTGCATGTGGCACCTGCCTGTTCCCTGTCCTCTGTTGGCTGAGCTGGAAACATGCCCGGTATCTCTTTAGAGGCCATCTGTCTCCACATCTGCATCCCTACCAGGGTCTGGGATCCTTTAGGGCCAAGCAGGGGCATCTCTCTGCTTGTAGTGACTAGCTCCTAGCCAGGTCTGAGCAACCAGCACTCAGAACAACGGTGCCCACCTTGTCTGTCTGTCTGCTGCTGCCTCGATTTCCTCCACAGGGAGGGAGCTCCCCATCCCCCCACATCCTAGGCGGCTTAGACACCAGAGGTCCTTGGAGAGTTAGCCAGTTCATGCCCATGGGTAGCAGATGAAGGAAGGCTGGGCTTCTGGGAAGGGTCTGACCCATGCACACAGTTGGAAACCCCTTTCAACCTCCTCACATTCACCAGGAACATTTCTCTTCCTGAAAAGGCTTTGGCTGGCTCTGTGGAAACTGGCACACAGAAGAGCTGCTACGGGTCTGGCGTTGGGAGGGGACAGCACCCAGGGCCCAGCTCCCCAGGACAAAATAAGCCGCCTCCCTCCTCATCCTGTCAACAATTGGTGATCTGGGAAGAGGCTCTGTAGGAGTTCCCGAACTGTTCTTGTTTTTAATTGTTTTTAGGGACTGGAAATTGCTCTGCTCTGTGCTTTGCCTCAAAAAACAAATTAAAAACATCTCACAGAAACCTTCCAAATAGCATGAGTGTGTTGATGCATAGGTACCACAGACTTCTCTGTGCCCTGACACAAATACTAGGCAAGGTTTCTCCCTGCAGCTCAGGCAAGCCTCAAACTCATGGACCTATTCTTTCCTCAGCCTTCAGAGTACTGGGATTGCAGGTATGAGACATCGTTCTCAGCTTAATTCATGACATTCGTATCAATAGGCACACTCAATGGCATTTATGTACTGGCCCCAGCACCTAAGGTGCTAGAAGACTGATCGAAGAGTCCCTGTTACTGGTTATGTACTGGCCTCCGTGTTTCTGGTAGTCACAAACCAGCCTCATTGCACAGGTGGTCCTTTACCAGCCGCAGCATCCCTGGTGGTTATGTACTGGCTTCGATGTCCCTGTAAGTAATGTGCTGGTTACAGCATCCTTTGAAGTCTCGCACCGGCGCGGTGTGTCTCTGACCTAGCCATGTCTCTTCCTCTGTGCATCTCTATCTTGGTCAGGCCACTGTCAAGGTGCACTGGATCCTGAACTTCCTAACACAGGTCTCGGCTCCTACAGCAGCCTCTCAGTGGCCTAAACAAACCCCAGAGCCCCCCCACATTCCTTAGAAAAGGGTCCCAGACCTTTTAGTTTCTCACATGCTAGTTCTGCACTCTCTGGCATGGGGACCTTCTCCAAGCTGCCAACGTCCGAGCCCTTGGAGACGCACCTTATCACCGTACACCAGCATCTTCATCTGCTTTGTTCACGGCTATGCCTCCGGCACTGGGAGAATGTTTAGAGCAAGATGGAGGCTCGGGAGAGTACTGAGAGGTCGGACACTGCTCGGCAGTCACTGTGGTTGTAGGAGATTTCACTCTCCCGGGGTCTCTCTCTGACATCTATTCAGATTGAGCTGTACGACGCCTGCGCTTTGGGTGCCCTGGGATTTCCCTGGCTGGCTCGGCTTCTTTCTTCCCTGGTGATGGACATTGCTGTTTGGGACCATCTGTGCGGCTGTCAGAGCCCACGAAAAGCATTTGTGGGCACCCGTTTTTCTGTGTCTCAGTGGGTATCAATGAGGACAGCGGGGGTTCCCAGCAGAGGCTGCACTCCCCGGGGGGTGCTCTGCCTCAACCCAAGAGTAATTTAAAAAGACTGGATGATTCTGGCATCACCAGAAGTGTAGAACTGCAGTTCCTCCTAAGGGTCTGTTCCTGGGCTACTCTTAAAGCCGTGCTGGTTTGTGGGATTATCATCAGCACACCTGAATATCGCTTGCTGAGTGGTTGTACAGGCATCCTGCCCCCTCACTGTGGATGCACTAAGTTCTCTCCACTGTTAGCAGGCTAGCAAGCAGAGTTCCTCCATGGTCTCTGCTTCAGTTCCTGCCTTGGCCTCTTCCAATGATGGGCTGTGATCGGACACAGCAGCCCAAGAAGCTCTTTCCTCGCCGAGCCGCTTTTGGTCATGGCCTCTTTAGTGAAGCGATAGAAACCTACCCGGGCTATGTCCACTGTCTACTAGAAACCTACCTGGGCTATGCCCTGTCCACTCTCTCGTTTCTTTTCTTTTTTTTTAAAGATATATTTATTTATTATGCATACAGTATTCTGCCTGCACATATCCCTGCAGGCCAGAAGAGGGCACCAGATCTCATTACAGATGGTTGTGAGCCACCATGTGGTTGCTGGGAATTGAACTCAGGACCTCTGGAAGAACAGCCAGTGCTCTTAACCTCTGAGCCATCTCTCCAGCCCCCACTCTCTCGTTTCTTACAGCCCCGCCCCTCCTTCCCACAGCAGCCTTCCCTCAGCCTGCCCCAACTGTGTCTCACGAAGGACACAGCATTCAAGTGCCTTCCTCGGGGAGGAGAGGTTGATTTCCATCACTCTCTCAAGCACCCTCCTTCCTTCCTTCCCTTGTCTCTGTTTTTTTGCAGTTAGGGGGTCAACCCTGTGGCCTTCTGCATGCCATTCGTGCCACGTAAGCCCTCTCTACCAACGAGCATGTGAACTCTCTATCGTGGAGTGCTATACTCCTGATTCTCAAAATATTTTTAACAATACCTTCATATTCTCTAAAAGACTTACTTTCTCCTACTGCTGCTACACATGGTACCCAGTCTTGTTTATTTTATTTTATTATTTTTTTCAACTTGACACAAGCTACAGAGCTACAGTAACCTGGAAAAAAACCTCCGTTGAGAACACGCCTCCATCCTATCCCTCATGGGCACATCTGCAGAGCATTTTTTTTTTTTTTACTTTATTAAAATACTGAGTTTATTTCACATGTATATTTGTCTCCCTACCATTTCCACATCTGACCACCACTATTACTATGTCCTATCATAACATTCCATACATACTTAAAACCAAGTTAAGGGTGGAGTTCCATCCTTGAAAACTAAACAGGCATTTTAGACAACACATTCTTGGCAATGGAACCTGGACAACATTTATCAAACACAGTAGGGAAAGTTCTCACTTTGCATTATAAAAAGGACAGCCAGATATATCAACTGTTACAGAAATTAAGTAAGACGGAATTATTTCAAATTATTTAAACCATTTTCTTAAAGAGACTTCCTCCACTGCCAGAGATCTTTAATAGCCTCCTGGTCAGTCATCCGGAAGCAATTCTTCACATAATTAATGAACTTGGCTTCCACTTTGGGAAGAGAACCACCTTTTTCTATACTTGCTTGCATTTTTGCCTTAATGTCTTCTACAGAACTAGGTCCTTTTGGTGTTTTAGGAGTCTTTTCCTGTTTTTTGAAAGACTCTTGACCCTTTGATCTTGGTGTTGATGGTTTTAAGTCTTTTCCATTTTGGTTTGATTTTTGTGCATTTTTGGCTGGGGTATCTCATACAGATTTCTTCACTGGAACTTTTTCTTCAGCTTCCTCATCATCAAAATCATCATCATCTTCATCATCCTCATCATCTTCGTCGTCATCCTCATCATCCTCGTCAAGTTTTACTTTTTTCTGCGGAACCTTGTTACCACCTCCAGGAGCAGATCGTTTTCCAGACACACTTAAAAGTTTTACATCCTCCTCATCTTCATCTTCTGACTCTGCATCTTCCTCTACAGCTACTAGGTGCTGTCCACTGATGTGCACAGGCCCTGAACCACACTTCAACCTTAAGACCACAGGTGGTGTAATTTCAAAGCCCCCAAGAGAAACTGTTGGTTGTACAGACATTTTCAAAGTTGCCAGTGTTACTTTAATTGGACTGCCTTCGTAGTTCATTGCTTCTGCCTCTATGATGTGTAATTTGTCTTTTGCCCCGCCCCTAAACTAACCGTTCTTAGTGATAACTGGTGCTCATTCTCATCATTATCCACCTTAAAGTGATAATCCTTGTCAGCTTTTAGTTCACAACCGAAAAGGTAGTTCTGAGGCCTGAGAGGGCTTATGTCCATGTCCATCGAGTCTTCCATGAGGTGGAGGTGCACACTTCGGTGTGAAAGAAGTCGGATGGAGGAAACTGCCCACTGCTCCGCAGAACAGACACGCAGGACGGAATCACGCCAGGAGCATTTTCTTAATGATTGATGTGGGAGGGCTCAGCTCACCGGGGTCTGAAGAAGCCAGGAGCTGAGTCCTCTCCAGCACCTGTGTAGAATCCCTGGTCTGCACCTGCTGCGTTTCTCTCCATCTGGGCCATCCAGCTCTTGGTCCGTGGCCACCTCTGATGGAGGGCTGGGCTCAGGCCAGCAGCCCACAGTATTTCTCTAGGAACATTCCTCCTCAGTGGGTCTGTCTTCCATCTCTGGCAGAGGAAGCTCAGGGTTCTTTCCTAGACTCTGATTTCCAAGGGCTGGAGACTGGAAGGGAAAGAGAAGAGAGGGAGGAGGAAGGGGAGGGGGAGAGGGAAGGGAAGGGAGGAGGAGAGAAAACGGAGGAGGAGCCACAGGCACCAGGACCAAAGAGGGAGGAAGGGAGGTGTAGGAGATGGAGGGGGCAGAGGGGTGGCGGTGGAGGGAGAGGGGAGATGACCAGAGGAGGGAGGAAGACAGAAGGAGAGGTAGGAAAGAGTGTCCGTGGAGTAGAGGACAGTGGATCCAGGGCTGCGCTTCTTGGGGCTGCTCCTGGGCCTCCTGAAACCTAACCGGACAGAAGGAGCAGTGGCGGCCTCAGAGCGCTGCCCTCCCCGCGGAGGGCACTTCGGGAATGCAGCCGCTCCCGCCGCCTGTGCCTGGCCCTCTGGCTCTGCTGGATACCACAGGTTAGCTGACGGCATCCTATCTCACCACCGACGAGATTGGGGGGCCCAGGAGCTGGGTTAGACGTTTCTAGCTCCTCTAATAGGGGAACTACTGGCCCAGGAGCTGGGTTAGACGTTTCTAGCTCCTCTAATAGGGGAACTACTGGCGTAGCTCAGGGCTCTGGGTGCCGGACTCCCTTGGGGTTGGGGCTGGGGATTCAGGGCTGGGTTCTTGAAGTTCATGTGGCGGGCCACCGAGCCACAGGTACACAGGTACGTCATCTTTCTGCCGCACATCAGTCTATGCTGCACACCATTCTGTTTCTGTCCGCTATTCTGTCTTTTTATTAACGGACCCGGGTACTTCTAAGTGGTGCCGTCCCGGACCGCCACCTTTCCAGTCCCACTGTATTTATTTCACTTTGTAAACTTTCCTGGGAAATGTTTGTTTGAAAGAACCAGGGAGCGCATCCTGCCTGAGAGGGAGAATGGTGCTCAGGGCATTTTGGTATTGTTGGTGGCAGCGAGCGAGCGAGGGCTTCCATCCACCTCACTCCCCGGCCGCTCCATCTCTAATTGTTTGATTTCCCACATCAAGCCCGAAGCCAGGTCCTTCTGGGAAACCAGGAAACCTGTTGCAGGCTCTGGCTCAGGCCACTTGGGCTTAGGTGCTCCTCTGGGACGTAGTCAGGCCTTGGAGGGGTGCCAGGCATTGTTCCAGGAGGGCAGGGGGTGGGAGAGACTTAAAGGACTTTCTAACCCTGTGTGACCCCCTCTGCCGCGGGATTCAAGGATTGGTGGGGGATGGGGGACTCTGAAGGATGCTTTCAGAGCAGACCCATCATTAAGAACCCAGGTGATAGCCTCCGCCCTTCACTGAGACACTTTAGGGGAGTCTTCAGAAACTAGATTGGTAGTGCTGTTAAATAATAATGAAGGAATCTGGCTTTGAAGAGACTTCTGTGCACGCTCCTCTCTTAAGGCCAGACGCTCTGTGGTCATTCATTCTCCAGTCGGCTACTAGCTAGCTAGTGTTGACGACAGCTGTTGTTACCAGCTGCCCCCATTGTCATGTTAGGGTGACTTGGTGATTAACTGCAGCAGCTTCTGGCTTTACCCTTTTCTTCTGATAAGGAGCTCCAGACTTTAAAGTGGTCTGTGGGAGTCTTTTACTGAGACAGTCTTAACAGCAACTAATGGCCTGGTGGCTCCAGGCTGTGACTGTTATATCTTGATGCTGCTTTGCTTACAGCTTGGAGCAATGTTAGATATAAAATCAGAACCTAGTGACTGAGCAGTGCCCAGCTCTGTGCTACTTGGGGGTCACTTTGCCTCTGCTACAGGATATGGCCTCGTGGGATCTCCTAGGCTGGTCTCAAACCCCCAGTTTCAAATAATCCTTTTACTTCAGCATCCCCAGCACCTGAGACCCTAGACACAGGCCATCACATGAGACCCCAGAGGATTAACCTCATTCTGGGGGTTCAGGTCCTATAGGCATCAAGGTCATGATGAAGAGCCCTGCTGAGTCTTATCCTCCGGGCTGGGGTATCTCCTCCTGTCTCAGTTAAGTGGGGAACATGGTCCAGTACAGAGTACAGCCTGCTGTCCATCAGTGCCTGAACCTTCTGGGCAGACCAAGTGAAACTATGAGTGCCTGGGTCAGCAGTTCAGTCAAGACAGGCAGAAGCCTGGAAAAGAGGACAGCATTTGGAAATGAGGGGTGAGGTGGGGATGCCTTAGGAATGGGTGGGTAGAAAATGGCTAGATGGCATGCTGAGGTGTGTGTGTGTAGGGCATACCTGCAGACAGAAGCTCTAAACAGTTGAGAAAGTACCTACCTGCTGGCTCAGTGGCATCCACAGAACATCCCCGTGCTTTTAAAATGAGTAGGACAGCTTTCACAGATGGGTTCTGGGGATCTTCTCATAGACTCAGTCTACCGGGTTGTTACCATTTCTGTCTCCACCCAAGACAAGAAAGAAGTCTTTCACTAATTCACACCGGGTGACACCTCCTTCTCCCACTCTGAGCTGGACACTGGCATCCCGAGAGTGAGAGGCATGGCCCTGCTTGGCCGCCTTCTCTTCGTGGGCTTGAGTTCAGTCATCACCCACAGTAACTAGGTAGCAGTGGGTTAATTAGCACTGTCTAGGCACAGGACAACAGCCCTTTGTTGACGGGATAAGGACAGAGGGAGATGGGGAGATGGTGCAGTAACTGTCTGGATATCTGTCATGCGTGAAAAGCCTTTTGTCTCCAAAACCTGATGTAGAAATGCTTGCTTCTGGGGAGTTCAGAGATCCCTTCACCTTCTGGTCTTGGGCTTGTTTTATATATATATATACTTCTGTTTATGCCATACTGTGTATTCAGATGTATTTATAAAAGGCACTTTGAGCAGGACAATCGATTCCCCGTCTGTCTGGTGGGGAATCCATTAATTCCCAGCCAAGTCATTGGAAAGTGATGCTCAACTGCCCGGTCCAGCACCATGCAACTTTCCAGACCTTGTTATACCTGGGAACTGTGGACGGAAATGCTGGCAGACAGGCCTAGCTCATGTCTCTGGGTTTTTTATTATGGAATACTCTAGAAGAGTGGTTTTCAACCTGTAGATTGCAACCCCTTTGGGGATATCGAGTGACCCCTTCTCAGGGCTTGTATCTCAGATATCCAGCATATCAGATATTTACATTATGACTCATAACAGCAAAATTACAGTCATGGAGTAGCGACAAAAATAATTTCATGGTTGGGGGTCATCACAACATGAGGAACTGTATTAAAGGGTTGCAGCTTTAGGAAGGTTGAGAACCACCACTCTAGGGGCGAAGTAAGACAGACTCAGGAAGGGACTGAGGAAGAAGGCAAATCGATTCAAGGATATGAACAGGCGAGAGTATGATCTGAAGAGCCTGACGTTCAGGTCAGAAACCGTTAGCTCAACAATGCTAAGTGCCACCAGCCTAGGATGTCATGCTAAATGACCCAGCACAGAGGAGGACATGACCCAGGGTGCTGTGGGCTGGTGCCACCTCAGGTGAAAGATGTTTCTGCAGAAGGGTCCACCCAGATCTCAACCATTCTGGGTCATTCTTAGTCGTTTGGAATACAATTGGTGTGTGACGTACTTAGGAAAAAAAAAGGGGAAAGTAAAGCCTTTTTAGGTGAGAAAGCTCCTACGTGGTTCGCTACACACGTTATCTCATTAGCACTTGCTTGTTAGGTAGGATGGAGCACCAGGTATGACCAGGTGGTAGCTAGACCCAAACTACCTCAGGCGGCTTGCTCCTGAGGCTGAGTGTCTGCAGGCGCTAGCCAGCTCTTGGTGGGGCCGTGGGCACCGTGGAGAAGCCAGGAGCTGCTTTCTGCTTCAAAGCATGCTTCTCCCATGTTCTGCCAAGGGTGTTCTGTGCAGGGTGCTCTCTGCCCTGTTCCTGGTGCTTTCAAAGAAGGGTGTTCCCTTTGCCTCCTGCTGGGCAACCCTCACACCTTCAGAGGCCTGAGCCACCTAGGGTGGATTCTATTCAGCCTGCCTTGCTTCTTCTAAGTTCACTCAGAGGTTGTGGGTGCAGGAGGAAGTGGAATTAGAGTCTCCCTCCTGCTGACCTGACTACAGTAGCCTCTCCAGATCCTGTTCCTTCAGTTCCAGGCTGCCCACTTGCCACCCATCAACTTCAGGGCTTTCTCAGGGCCATCTGGACCCACTGTTGGATCTGCTCCCGAACACCTCGGGCCCCATTTCCTGGGAGGTGTTTCCACGCTCCTTCCTGAGTTCTTGTCCCCCCGGCCCTGCTTCATTTCTCTGCTGAATGAGGCACTTTATAAATCCTCCATGTACTGTGGCTCATCTTATATCTGTGGGTCTTCTCTCCCAAGGCCAAGAGCTCCCAACGGGGGCAGGATCCACCTCGTGTTCATGGCAGTGTGTCTGGGATTTGGAAGCATCTGTACATAACGAATGCTCAGTTAAGCAGGGTATGGGGAATTTGGGAAATGAGTGTGAGGATGAGTAGGAAACTGCATAGGGGTGAGTGAACGTGTGTGGTGTTTCTGCAGGTGGTATTCAAGTAAGCCCATAGGGTGAACTGAGGCAGATGCAAGGGCCCATGGACTCTGGACATAAACCTTCCTCTCAGAGGCAAAAAAAAAAAAAAAGAGGAATGGGAGTGGGAAGGGGAAACTGACCCATATTTGAGGCCAGGACTTAAAGAGCCTGGTCAATAGGAGTTCCATCCTCTACGACCCCTTGGGGACCTCGGAAGCAGTGAGGCCTGAGGTGGAGGACAACGCTTGCCAGCTCCCAGGAGCCAGTGATGACTGAGTTGGGGAATGGTAGGTCTGGGGCTGAAGGGCGGTTTAGGATAAGATTCTGAGAAGACACAGCCACATTCTGGTCTGGAGAAGGGCGAGAAGGCTAAACATGGAAGAACAGAGCCCCTGGAATGGGGTCTTACTCCTGGAGATGTGCCCTTGCTGGGTCAGCCAGATAAAAATGTCTTTCTCCGGTCAGCTGAGTCATCGGGAGTGTGAGAAGTCATCTGAAGTTCTTTGAGAATTTATGTCTCGAATTTGTAACAATCCCTTTCCTGGGGGTCATAACCTTGACTTGTGTTAAGCTTCACTGGTCGGATCAAAGATGTGTGAAATCCTCAAATGAGAACTTCTCGGAGCGTGAAGAGTTTCCCGTTCAGAGGCAGTGGTCATTTGAAAGGGGGATGTGATTGGGTAGGCAAGCCACTTCCTGATGAAGCTGGCACTGTGCTGTGTGTACGCACATATAGGCACACGTGAGTACACATAGTCGCAGGTGTATCCACCCTGAAAATGTTGACTGGATAGGACTCTGGGGTCACGAAGCCCATCAGACTTTTCTTACACCACACTTCTGAGCGCAGTGACTTGGTCCAATGCCTGGCTGGATCAGGGCGGAACGTGGTTTTCTCACTTGGTTTTAGCCGTAGCCTGTGGTTCAGGTGTGTGGCTCTGAAGCGATTAGGGGAGGCAGGTGTGTCTGGCAGTCAGCGGAGACGCTGTTAAGGAAGCGTCAGGCTCCAAGAGGTACAGTGGAGGCCGAGCCCTTTCCTGAGAGCTATGCAGCTCTTGGAGTTCAGCGGCACAGAGCAGGCCATCCAGAGGAGCACTTTACGGTGCTCAGGCTTGTCTGAGGATGGATACTCAGTGGTATGTCCTCTCTGATGTTCTCGGCCTGTGACTTCATTCCAAAGCCCTAGTCCAAAGTGACTGCAGGGCCTGGTCATTGTGTTTGTATCTCAGGCAGGAGGCAGGACAAAGGCCAAGCAAGCAGCAGTACCTTTGAAATGCTCCTTGAGTCCAACAACCTCTGCTGTAGCTGTAGCATGGGCAGAGCTCAGTCTCACGGCCTGCGGCTGCAGATGCAACCTTTTGGCCAGGTGGGTAGGTCCACACCCAGGAGCCCCCGCGGCTGCATCTGGGTCACGGCTGCCTCTGACACTCATGGCACCTTCTCCATTCCCCATGAGGTCATTCTCTCCTTGGACTTGAGATGGATGAAGACGAGCCTATTTGCAGCCTCAGGCCATGACCCCTGACTATGCTCAGCGCCATCGAGGAGGGAGGAGGGAGGAGGGAGGAGGGAGGAGGGAGGAGGGGACAGGCTGCTTGCCTGCCTGGCACAGCTGGGACCAGGTTTCCCCATTGTTGATAGAGGACAGGTGTGGAGCTCACGTGATTCCTAATAACTGGGCCTGGAACAGAGTGGGTAATCAGCACCTGGCTCACTACCCCCCCCCTTTTCCTCCTCACAGAGGGTTTTGGAAGGAGGAAGAAGATCTCTCTGTGGTTTGTGGGCTCTCTGCTGCTGGTGTCCACGCTCATCCTGACCATCGGCCTTGCTGCCACCACCAGGACAGAGAATGTGACCGTGGGCGGCTACTACCCAGGGATCATCGTGAGTCAAGGGCCTATGGGGGGCTGGTCAGGATTGTCAGTGTTCCATGTGGAGAGAGACATTCTCCGGTGGTCCACGGTGGGAGGGGGCCAGAGTCCTGGGAAAAATGACCCCAGCCTAATGCTTAGTGTCTGAGAGCGTTTAGCAAAGAGGGAGGCCTGAGGGCTGCTGGTCAGAGGACCCTAAGCTGGGCCCCATTGTCTTGCGCCATGCTGGCGGGCCAGTATTGTCACAGGGCCTTGGAAGTAGAGGGGGCAGGAGGAGAGTGTGACTTGGTGAGGGTAGGGTGGATTCAGGGCCACATAAGTTTCCATGGTGAAGTGGGAAGGGGTCTGAGGCTGAGGATGGCCAGAGCCTATGGAAGTCTGAAGAGATGGCAACACACTGTCAGATCCCTGTAGGTCCAGCCCCGCTGCCCCTGGACATTAACACATGCACCAACCCAACCTAATTCCTGGAAGATGGGCTTGTGGTTGTGAGAGCCCCGTGATGGAGGTCACGGATTGAAGCTGTTGTTCACGATGCCACCATGAGGACAAGGAGAAGTGTACAGTTGTGCTGGCTTCTCACTTCCCACAAAAGGGCAAATGACTTCAGTGACAGCATCAGTGACGTCAGCAAGGCAGGTCTCTCGGGCCTCAGGATCTAAACCTGCTTTACTGTTCATTTTATCTTTAGATTGCTCTGTATCTACACACCTTGTGAATCGTGTTATCTGCCTGGGTGTAATCCACACATGACTCTGTGTAAAGTGTCCATGCAGGAAAAGTGTTCCTGTAACATTGCATGAAGCTCATTCCAGAGACACTAGCCTTACACAAGCTTCTTCTGCCACACTCCCTGGGCAAAGAGGGAATCCTGAAATCCAGGAGCTAGAGGGTGGGAAGGCACAGCATCTCGAATTCTCTGAAAAATACGAAGATCGCCCTTGAGTGGTAGTTGGTTGCTTTTACCCAGCTATATTTGTTTGAGATTCTCACCTCAAGAAGTCCTAGTTTTCATTCTTTGTTGCTTCGAGAATACACCCTGGCAAAATACAACTTAGGGGAGAAAGGGTTTATTTTTAGCTCACAATTTCAGGTTATAGTCCATTGTCCCTGGGAGGTCACAGTAACAGGAGCGTGAAGCAGCTGGTCGCATCACGTTCATGGTCAAGAGCAGAGAGAAATAAGCACATGATGATTGCTTGTTTATCTTCAGCTTGATGCCTCCGTTCTCATAGTTCAGGACCTCCTTCCTAGGGAATGGTGCTGCCCGCAGTGGGCTGAGTCTTCCCACATCACCTATCTTAAGTCAGTCTTCTAAAGACAATGACCACATCCACCCGATGTAGACAGTCCTTCACTGAGACTCTTTCCCCAGTGTCTTTAGGTTGTGACGAGCAGATAAAGCTAATCACCACATGTTTACATTCCAACATAACAGTATTTCTGAGGGTAATACACAAGGAGATGTTTTCCTGGGGGATGAACTAACACCATATTAACCAGAATTAGCTTTGTCTCAGACTTTGTGTTGTCATGGAGACAATAATGAAATTAGAGAAATCTGAGTAAAAGTCAAGTCAGAGAGACACTCTATACAACAAAGCTGAGGAGTCCTGGCCATCTCAGGGAGAGCAGCCTGGAAATGAAAAAAAGCATCATTTTTGGCAAAAAAAAATCATATCCAAAAAATATTAAATTTAGTCTAAGTCTGACATTTGTGAACTGTGGGCAAGGAGTGTGGCCTTCAGAAGCTCAGTGCTGGGAGAGATACCATTCTTCAGAGACTAGATGGGCAGGGCCTCCTGGGCCAGCAATTGACCCCTCAGACCAGCACAGCCTCAGAGCAGTGTGTACAGAGCATGGCTGGAACCTGGTCCGGATGCCCCAGCTTTAAGATGGGGACAGGTGTAAGCATATGACCCTAACACCCAACTGTGCCTCCATCTAGGAGAGCTCCTGGACCCCAAACCTCCACCCTGCCAATCTGAAGACTCGAGTGTGGGCGGGGTCTTGTTCTTAACAGCTCCCCTGCTGAAACACCATAGGTGTCCCAGCTGCCAAATTCCTCTCCACCTTCCTGGGCTGGCTGGAGAGGGCATGTCAGAAGCTCAGTGTGACATCCCTGCAAAGGTGCACCAAGATGGAGTCCTGTGACCGAAAGTTGGACTGATCTCATGGAAGCATCCGCTTCCGTCTGTCCCACCAGCGGGCTTTGGTGGTGTGCTGTCCCTCTCTAGGGAAAGCAACTCCATGCCGTGTGGTGGGAGTGGCCACACTCTTCTCCCAACAAAGTATTTAATTTTATTTTTAGTTGTTTTTTTAAAGACATTGTCATTTGTTACCTCAAGTTGGCCATTCTCCTGCCTCAGCTTCCCACGTGCTGGCATTATAGGATATGAGTTAACATACCCAAGTGGACAAAAAACATTTTAAAGGGGTTATTAGTAAATTAAGGGGAATTAGTAAATATTTAAAAATCATATTTATGTATGTCATGGTACACGAGTGGAGGTCAGGGGGTTGGTTCTTTGCCTTCTGTCCTGTGGGTCTTGGGGATTGAACTCAGGTCATCAGGCTTGTAAGCAAGTGCCTTCACATGCTGAGCTTTCTCACCTGCACAGGGGCATTGTTAACTGCGATGGGTCAGGGTGATGCTAACCAAACGTCTCTCTCTTGTTCTTTTCATCTCAGCTGGGCTTTGGGTCCTTCTTGGGAATCATTGGCATCCACCTGGTGGAGAATAGAAGACAAATGGTAAGAAACATCTCTTTCCACATGGGGTTGTGGGAGCGTTGGTCCTTCAATACCGGATGCTGCAGTCACAGCTGGGGGTTCCTCTCCACATTCATCTGAAACCCCTGGACTCCATATACTATACAACCCAAGACTCAGGGCCTGGTTGGTGCCACTCCACAGCTTGCTCTAAATGAGCATACCCCACTGGGGAACAGAGAGAAGCAGAGATAAAACCAGAGCAGGGGATGCTGGGGTCAGATCTTAGAAACAAAGTTACTGTTCTATGGCTGTGAAGAGACACCTTAACTAAGGCAACTTACAGAAGGAAACATTTACTTGGTTGCTGAAGTCAAGCTTCAGCAGGTGGAAGAACCTGGAGTGGAGATGGTGGAGCGGTTGCTATTAAACACACAGACTTACCTGAGATGGTGGAGCCGGTGCTATTAAACACACAGACTTACCTGAGATGGTGGAGCCGGTGCTATTAAACACACAGACTTACCTGAGATGGTGGAGCAGGTGCTAATGAACACACAGACTTACCTGAGATGGTGGAGCCAGTGCTAATGAACACACAGACTTACCTGAGATGGTGGAGCGGTTGCTATTAAACACACAGACTAACCTGAGATGGTGGAGCGGTGCTATTAAACACACAGACTAACCTGAGATGGTGGAGCCAGTGCTAATGAACACACAGACTTACCTGAGATGGTGGAGCCAGTGCTAATGAACACACAGACTTACCTGAGATGGTGGAGCGGGTGCTATTAAACACACAGACTAACCTGAGATGGTGGAGCAGGTGCTAATGAACACAGACTAACCTGAGATGGTGGAGCAGGTGCTAATGAACACAGACTGACCTGAGATGGTGGAGCCAGTGCTATTAAACACACAGACTAACCTGAGATGGTGGAGCAGGTGCTAATGAACACACAGACTTACCTGTGGGGGGTAAAGCTTAATTCTTTATTTTATTTTTCTCTTTCTCCTCCCATCTATTCATTTTTCTCTTATCCCTTTTATATCACTTAAGACAAAAGCTTCCATGCAAGAAGAAATTACCTGACAACCACACATTACATATTTTCCAGAAACAAATGAAAATCTTTACAAGGAAGAAATCATATTATGATGACATTACATGTTTTTCTTAGAAGCCCACAAGTGGTTAATAATTTTCCTTTGTATTATTTCTCCCACCATAACATCTTCACCCCAAAGCAATGATCCTTTTATTATTGATTAGCAAAGTTTTAAGCAAGCTGAGTATATCTCGGCCAGTTCCTTTGCACGGGCAGGCAGCTGTCTGTGGTTTCGTTGTAGCAGATTCCTGTCCTATTTCTACTCTACAAAACTTTACTCAAGTGGTCTAACCATTTATTTTTTTTCTTTACACACAATGGGGTCATCTAATTTTCTTTCACAACTTTGTTTTTTCAAAATGTATACTGAAGCCTATGATTAATTCTGTAAGCTGCATGATCAAGGAACTCGGACCTAACCTTGGGTGTAGGGACGTCATTGCTTTCTTTGATCATCAGCCTGTTTTTCCACAGGCAGAATTCGTGGGCCTACAATGCATGAAACTTCCTTGTTCTTATTTTTCATCCTCAGCAAGTCTTACATCTAGGAAGAAAGGAAGTTGACTCCTAGCCTTATTTTTATTTTTCTTGTGTCTCTCATTGGAGCAATTGGCGGAATAACCTAGACCATTTCCCTAACCATCTTCACTAACTGTCCTAACCACCTGTATCTTTAAATCATTGATCTAACTAAGCATCGTTGCTCTATAAAAAAAATCATGTTCATTATGATCTGCAAGGAGATTGCCCAGTGAAGAGTGGGACTTTCCCATGAACTAATCACAGTGTACTCGATACAGTGGGATTCTCTCACACAGCAATCACACCTGGCCAGGTACAGTAGGATCAGGACAGCAGCAGGCAGGAGAAGGCACAGCAGAAGCAAGGGGGCGTTCTGGAGACCATTCCCCAGGGCGTTGCCTCTCCAGGCTGCACCCACGGTAGCTGTGCTCTCTGGTGAGCTTTACTCCACGAGCTCCACGGATGACCGCAGCTTCTCTGACATGGCCACTGCTGACTGGTGGCCGGCTTACAGTTTCAGAGTTGAGTCCATCATCATCATGGCAGAGTGTGTGGCAGCAGACACAGGAAGACATGGTGCTGGAGGAGTAGCTGAGAGCTGACATCCTATCTTCAAACGCCTGGTGGTGGTGGTGGGGAGAGAGAGCTGATGGGATGGTGTGGGATTTTGAAACCTGCAAGTTCACTTTCAGAGAGACACCTCCTCCAACAAGGTCACACCTCTAATCCTTCCCAAGTAGTTTCACCAACTGCAGACTGAGCATTCAAATATATGAGCGTATGGGGGGGGGCATTCTTATTCAGACCAACACAATAGTAGACATTTAGATGATGTTTGTCTAAGTTCGTAGAGTATTAATAGCCATGAGTAGTACAGGGGACCGTAGACTCTTATTTGTTGGTGAACTGTTGTGAATTATTGTTGTAAAACTAACTTGGTGTACTTTTTTAGGTCTTGTCTAAGCAGCCATGTTGTTGAGGTACCATGGGTGAAGCTCCGCTGTCGTTTCTAGGAGACACAGTCTCACAGTAGATCTCCTGGCCCTCTGGCTCTTGCAATCTTTCTGCTCCCTCTTCCATGATGGTCTTCAAGCCTTGGGTATAGGAGTTGTGCTGTGGAAGTATCAACCAGGGCTGGTAACCTCATGACCTCGTGTTCTCTGCATTTTGACCGGTTGTCCATCTGTTGCAAAGACAAGTTTCTTTGAGGGCTGAGAGCTAGTTATCTGGCTCGGTTCTTGTGCAAGACATGTAGGACCGAGCAGGGCTGACAGCTTGGATGTGGTGCCCGAGAGATTGGGATCTGTTCTTTCTCCATCGAATGGGCTCGGTGCCTACGTCATCTGACCATAAGAATGTGGCTGGTTTCTGGGCTCTCGGTTCTGCCCCGCTGGTCTATGGGTCTGCCTATGAGCCACACCAATTTGTTTTCTTCAACTTTGTCATATTCTCTGCAATCAGGATATGAGTCTTCCGGCTTTGTTCTGCATTTCCAGGTTGTTTGGCTTAAGCAAGATCCCTTGTAATTATCATGGGTTGAACCTCCACAGCAAGATCTCTGGTAGGGACCATGCTAAATGTGTGGTGCTAAGGCAGAAGGCAGAGGGCTCAATCCCAGGAATACAACCATTCCCCATTTGTCTGGCATGTTTTTTTTTAAACTTCTTTCACAAATGTTTTTGGTTTTCTGAGTATGAGTTTTGTTCTTGTTGTTAACTTTGTTAACGTTATTCCTAGTTTTATTCATTAAAGGGTACCGTGTGGCTTTTGCTAAGTTCATTCCCAGCCTGCAGGGCATAGAGCTCATTTGTTGTTTCTGATAGCTTTTCAGTGGATTCCTTGGGGTTGTGTCTATAAGATTGTGTCATCTTGCAGAGAGCAGCTTTACCTTTCCTGATGGAGTCCAGAAACCCCGACCATGGCTCCTCTGGGCCTGGCAGTTTGAGCATAATGATTCAGAGACGATGTAGTGTCAAGGGCAGCAGGTAGGTCCCCCAGTGGACAAGTGGAGTTGGTCCCCCACGTCCTTAGATTCTCCTGATAGGCTGTGTATGGCTCCTGCATACTCTTGCTTTTGCCCTTGCAGGACAAGCACACACTTCAATATAACACACATTTATGATTGGGTACCTTACTTGTGCACAGCTAGAAGCTTCACCCCAGCTGACTGGCCTTCATGGTGCTAGAAGGTCCTCTGCATGGTCCTGAAGGAGGAAACGTAATCATTGATATCACCCAGCTATCAACACTGTGATGTACAGCAGTGATCTGCCTGTGAGATCTACTGGTATAATAGTGGCACATGTGTCATGGGAGTAACCAACCATTAAAAAATTTTTTTAAGGTCCATTCCCTAAGATGGAATCTATACCTGACACTGATCAACTGGCCGAGAACCTGAGACTGAATAGGCTGTGGGCCTGGAGGAAGCCTACAAAGGAAATTAAAACATGGTATTTGGTACCTTACACCTGAGCCCACCATAAGTGCTGTAGTACGAGGGAACTGAGCCACTCTGGACTTCAGTGCTGTCTGGGGCAGGGCTGGTACTCGCAGTATCTGCAGTGAGCATTCAGAAATGGGGGCCACTATTTTGTATCTTGGGGGGGCATTTAGGTTGTTCCAATGGCATCAGGCGGGCAGCTTCAGCCAAGGAGAGGATAGCTGTGTTTAGCTCTGCAAAATGCTTTTTTTCTGGTTTCTCTTTATTTTAGAATTGTACTGTAGAAAGAAATTTAAGCACATGTAAAAGTAGACGAGCACAGTGCCCCCATGTACACCCATCACCTCTCAGCCAGTTCGGAGCTCATCTCTGGTTCCTTCTGTACTCCCCGTGGGAGGCTGAGGCAAGTCCCAGACACTTACTCCATTTGTCCTTGCTCCTGTCTGTCCACTCTGAGGGTGGAATCTAATTAGAAACGATTTCACCATTATCTCTGCCTAATATTATGGCAATCTCCAGTGGAAACCAAAGAAAGACTCAGAGGGAGGGTTCTCCTACAGTGAGGAGGACGAGCGGCATTCCCTGGAGAGGGCTTCTGGGCCTGCCGAGCCTTGCGAAGCATCGTCCCCTCCCTTCCTTCCTTCCCTTCAGTCAGTAGTTCTCAGCATCTGACCGACTCAAGATGACACTTCTGTGACTGGAAGGTACAGCACTGTCACTCTGAAACAGGAAATTCTTGTGGCAGTTTGTCACAGGAAGTGCAGCAACTGGGTCTCTCCCCTGCCCTGCCGGTGGCACCTCTGTTCCCCCTCTTGAGGCAGGTGTGGCCTGTGTGTCCCTCCTGAACCTTTTACTGCCACACTGGAGCTGTGGGTCACAGGGGCTGAGGAAGGAGCCGCACGTTGTCAAGATGCTCTTCAGCCAGTCTCTCTCTCCCTCTCTTCCTCTCTCCCTCTCTCCCCATCTCCCTCTCTCTCCCCTTGTCTTTCTGTGTCTCTTTCTCTGCTTCTATTCCTCTTCCGCTCTGTATGTTTATTTCTCTCTCTTCCTCTTTCTTTCTTTCTTTCTTTCTTTCTTTCTTTCTTTCTTTCTTTCTTTCTTTCTTTCTTTCTTTCTTTCTTTCTTTCTTTCTTTCTTTCCTTCTCTCTCTCTCTCTCTCTCTCTCTCTCTCTCTCTCTCTCTCCCTCCCTCCATCTCTCCCCCTCTCTCCTTCTTCTTCTTCTTCTTCTTCTTCTT